AGGCTTCGCACATCCAGTCTCCCACGTTCAACATTTTCACGTGGTCCGGGTAGGAGACGGGCGTGGCCCTGCCCTTCGTCCGAGCGGGTCCGCGAGAAGGGGACAACCTCTTGTTTAAACATGAGGTGCTTTTTCGACCGAAACGAAGGACCTGATGGACAAATCTACACACCTGACTGCAGTGTGCAGTTTTGTTTTGTCCATCCACGGTATGATCACCTGGTTGAGTAAGAAGACCGCCCATACTAAAGGTTCCAATTCCCTATTTTGACACATGCCCTTTTCGTCTTGGACTCTATGTTGCAACCCCCAACCGTGGGTCTGGGACTAGGTGAAGCAGCAGTCACAGTTGAAGGGCAAGGGGCTCGTGGTGGGGGGGCAGGCTCCCTCTTTAGGGTAGTTCTGGCTACAAAGTAGACCAAGTGCTCGTGATCCAAGTTGGAAGGGGTTGGGGTGGGGTTTGAACAGGTCCCTATGATCTAAAGAGAGGTTCCCCGCCCGTGGCCGAGGTGAGTCAACTCCGAGCCCAACATTGTGTTGTTTTGCCGACTTTTGGGGCCAACCAAAAGCCTCATGGTTCAGCCTGCCTGATGGGTTCCTCATTCCCTGCATCTGCCCTTGTGCCGGCACAATGAAGCGGCTGGCCACCCTATTTTGGCCCAGGCTGCCCTAGCCTCACCCACCCCAATTCTTGTGGCGGTTTACAAAACCGAGACAGTGAAGCCGACAGTGGGGCCGTGCTTCGAGAACAAGCCACCTGCGAGTGACTCGGGCCAAGCGGCCTTTTTCGGAAGCAGCGAGAATCCGTTGAAGTCCTCGGAGACGAAGTCGTTGTTTGTAGTGGAGTACTTCACCTACATTGGGCGACATTCAGCGGGAAAAGGGGGTGGGGGGGGGGGGGGGGGGGGTGGGGCGGTGGGCAGGGGTGAGCCAAGCAATGATGCCAGCGACGCTGGCTGTCTTGATGATCGTAGTTGCTAGCCCAGTTGTGCAGTGACCCTTGCAGCAATCATCTTTTATGGCGAACACCCCCCCAAAGAACAAAAACAGCTACTGAACAACTGGCGGGCTGCCACTGCTGGAAATACTACTTAGGTTACTCCATGCCGGCACAGGCGAAGCTGGCTCTTGCCATTCTTCAATATGAACTGTGCCCAAAAACCCATCGTAACCCTTATCAAACTGGTTTTGAGGATTGAATTGGGGTGACAATCAACCCCAGTAAAGCCAGGGCCACATATGGATGCCATGGCTTGGATTGCTCGGGGATATCCGCCCGCTGAAAGGACATTGGTCTCGATCCCATCATTCATAATGTGGCCATCCACGATTTTGCATGAAGGCCTGTCAAAAGAAGTCGCGACCCTCTAACCCACTCGAACCCACGAATAGCTCGAGGCTTGTTTCCCTACATCGAACCCACTCGAACCCACGAATAGCTCCAAGCTTGTTTTTTTACTTCAGGGGGTCATTCTCGAGGCCAACTGTGTCCGAGCCTCACTTTCTTGCAGGGCCTGGAAATACAAGCAGATCAGCTTCCGAAAAAATGAGGAAAACGGGAAAAGCGCGAGACCAAAAGGTTGCCTTTGGACTTGAAGCCACTCCAAACGAAACCCGTCCACGCCTGGCCGTGGGCAACCCAAACCCTCAGCGCGAGGAGTCCCAGTGATGGGCCATGTTGTTGTGACTCCCTTCAAGAAATGCTCCTTGCCTGTTGCCCCTCCCCTACCCCTCCTCGAGGAAATGGACCTGACGGTCCCTTTTCGTTGAATAGATGCGTAAAGACCTTGGGGCGCTTGATTTTTCCGGGCCACTGTCCAACATCCTCAGCATCGTGTTGCAGCCTCACCAGCTCAGCATCAGCATTTCTGCCAAACTGGAGCAAGCACAGTCAAACAAAAGGACCTTTCCCAAATGACTGGGGGAATTGCAAACAAAAACCTGCAGACACCCCCATCTAGGCACAAATAAGCCTGGCAGACGTGGGTCCCTGCTCGTGGCTTGTGCCGACCTTGGGACCTTTCGTTTGAACCTGTTTGCCAACTAATGCTTTCCCGCAATTATCGCATCATTCTGGAACTGGTGGTGCTGAGGTTGCAAAAGCCCTGTTTGCTCCTGTTTTCCAGGAGTGTAGAAAGGTCCGCGCAGGACTACATTGCTGACTGTTGGTTTGCCTCTGTTTGTTCATGGCCTTCTCCGTAGGTCTCAGATCTTGTTTCCAATTTCCTCGGAGTACTTCAGGAGGGTCCTTTGGTTTGCCGTTCTTTCTTTGGCTCGGTCATTTCGGAGTGTCGCGGACGGCCTTTCTACATTCCTGAGAAGGAGCGAACAGGGTCATCGTTTTTGCAACCTCAGCATCGCCAGTTCAGCACCAGCATCACCAGAATCATGCGCGAATTCCTGTGGAGCAAACGGGCCGCCACGTGTCTTATGGGGACCCAAATGACCGCAGAAACTGCTACCAAAAACCTGCACCACGCATCCCCAGCCAAGGAACACGCACTGAACAAAGTCAAACCAAAGGTCCCTCCTGAAGTGCTGCATTCCTGGGAAACAGGGTCAAATCCCTACCCGTGTGTTGTGGGGACCTCTCCCAAATGACCGAAGAAATTGGAAACACACACCTACAGATATGGAAAAGACCATGAACAGACAGAGACAAACAAAGGTCCATACTTAAGTCCTGCACGGACCTTTCTACATTCCTGGAAAACAGAAGCAAACAGGGTCATCGTTGTTGCATCCTCAGCATCACCAGCTATTGAAAGCAACATGAACAAACAAAGGTGCACCTGTACCAGAAAGGCACATGGAAAGCAGGCCCTTAACCTTGGCGGTCTGCGCTGGAGGAAGGGTCACTTGCATGACCATACAGCAAAGCAACTCCCATTGGCAACTAGTGCACAATTCGTGCAGCTAGTTGGACCGCGAGCAGCACGAGACTGCCCGACAGAGGCCAAGTCGGCCAGGAAGCCCAAGGTGTTCGCTCGTTTTAAAAAGGCAGGACAATCTCAAGGCCATTCATCCTCTACAAGAACCGGGCTCAAAATCCCACACCAATCCAGACCGTCGACTAAGGGTTACCTAAAAAAAACAGGCAGGGCAAACCTACACACATCATGGTGAGCTCGTTTCCATGTTTTACCCGCAAAAAGTCGAGTTCGCCAAACCGCAAACAGAACGCGTGCATTTTGCTCATGTCCTCGTTGGTAAAGGTCCAGCCAGATCACACATCACGGTGGTCGCTCGTTTTTCAGGTGAAATCGCGTAAAATCGGCGGGTCTCAATCTCTAGCCGCTGGTTTGGTCGTCAGGCTTCCCATCCCACAAGAACCCGGGCCTCAAAATGGCCCAATCCAAACCCCCCACGTGGAACGTGCCGGTGTGCACCGCCGAACTGAGGAGACCACATGGCACCGCAGGAGGAGCCCGCAGCAAAGAGCAACTCCTGCGCTCGCCCGCAGGGCTTCCGGACCGCCAGAGAGGGGGTGGGGCGGGGGACCGAGCTCCTTTATGACAAGCTCGTTAAAATATGTTAAAACTACCAAACCTCACTTCCCTTCCGATGTTTTGTGGATTGGCTAAACAAAACCAAGTCCTGAAACTGTTTGTATATATATATATATACCACTACTGCGGTCTTCCCAAAACGTTTAAAGTCCAGGAAGTGAGGAACATGCTAGAAAAAAAAAAAACTAAATACTCTAAATAGTTGAAGCTTGGGCTTGATGTATTCTGAATTGTCAAAAAGGGGCTGGCCTCTAGCACAGAGTGAGTTCAACGTATTTCAATTACTCAAGCCCGAAATATGTTGAAATATGGATATTATTATGTCTATTGTCCATGTCCTGTCCATTTGTTGTCCATGTCCTTACCAGTTCTTTCCATTTCCTTGTCACCGCCTTTCAATTATTCTCTATTTCCTTTCCACGTTTCCTTGCATTTCCATTGCTATCCATTCCTTTCCATGTCCTGTTCATTGCTTGCGACTTCAACTTCTTTCCCATGTCCTTTCAAGCGCTTTTCGTGTCTTTCAATCTCATGTCCATTCCTTTCCAGTCCATCCCTTTCCATTCCTAGCTAGAACTGCCCAAGGCCAGCCGGGGCCGATCAAGTGCTCATTTGGCAATTTCCCGCTATTGATAGCGCCGGCCTTCCTTTCCATTTCGATTTCCTGTCCATGTCCTTTTCACTTTGTTGCATTTCTCTTCCTTTTCTTGCGTTTCACGTTCATTGCCTTCCTTTTCCTTCTTCTCCATGCCCTTCCATTTCGTCTTCATTCAATATCCTTTCCATTGCTTTGAAAGTCTTCTTAATTCTGTTCCATGTCCGTTCAAATTCCTTTGCATCTCCTGTCCATGTTCTTTCCATTTAGCAAAATCCCTTCGCACTGAGTTTGATAAGGGCGCTACTTTCCCATTTCCTTTGTTTCCCTTCCTCTAGTCTAGCCATTACATCTCATTTGCCTTGCTATTCCCGTAAAATGTCCTTTGCATCCCCTTTGCACGCACGTCTTTCCATTACCTTTCTTCGCCTTTCTGTTTCATGTACCTTGACATTTCTTTCCACCTCATGGTTTCATTCAAAACTCAAAAAACACCCAACGCCAACCGGGGCCAAAGAAGTGCTTGTTTGGCCATTTCCCGTGTGGAGAATTTAATGGCGCCGGGCTTCTTTTTACTTCCCCTTCCCTGTCTTTCCATGTCCTTGCAGGTCCTGTTCATGTCCTTTCCATGTTGTTCCCTTCCTGGCCATCTTCAAGATACATTGAAACGTCGCGGTTCGCAGGAATCCCAACTGCACGGCAACTTGTTCCACACCGCAAGCCCTGACCCCTAGGCCCCTTCAACGGAAAAATGAAGAAATGAGAATACAATGACCACAGTTTGTTGCTTGGTTTGTTCTTTGGATGTTGTATGTCATACATGACAAACATGCAAGGAAACAGATGACAACGAACAGGCTATGTTTGTGGTTTTAATTTTCAGACTAAGTCTGCTAGTCTTCCCGTAGTCTTCTTTGTGGTCCTTGCGTAGTCTTCCTAGTCTTTCTGTGGTCTTGGGGCCCCACCTCTACCCACTCTCATTTTTCACTTCATTGAATAAACATGGGCAACATGAACAAAACCAGACTACGGATTTTCATGTTTTGCTTCAACTATTTAGACAGAAGGAGAAAGACGACAACACGCAAGACTATCCGGATGTTTCATGTTTCATGTTGGTCAATTCTTGGCTTCGAGCCTTCCCGTCGTCTTCCCGCAGTCGTTTTGCAATCTGGTAGTCTTCCCCTAGTCTTACTGTGTGGTTTCCGGGTCGTCTTGACGTAGTCTTCTTGAGTCTATAGTCTTTCCATCGTGTTCGTAGTCTTTCTGTAGTCCTGGGGTTTCAGCTGGGCCCCCAGATACCCACGCCCCCCCCCCCCAATCGCTCGGAACAGTCCCGGGCAAATTTGGGGGTATGACAGGCGCAGCATGTTGGACGATTTTGAGTTCGTGGCAAGCTCACTTTGCATAACGGGATTCCCTTAAAGGAAAACCGCGGATGGGGACTTTTCGGGAGCATTCCCTCATTCCCTGCTGAGAACAGCAAGACAGAGGTCTTCGGGGAAAATAGAAAACCACTCACGGGGCTTGAGATAGCCAAAACTCGGCCATGGGTTCCTGAAGAACTGTATCTGGTTGATTGGAGAACTCCCATTGGGAAGCGGGTAAGTTCCATGGTTGCTCTCTACGTCAGCAGAAGCGTAAGAAACCAGGACACCATAGGCAGAAGTTCACTGGGTGTGCCCTTTCTCAGGGGACCCCCCCATGATAGGTTTCCTTTTGGTTTCCCTTTAAGCCACTCGGAAGGATTCCGCTCCTGGGGCACCATGTGCCGATCCTGGAGCGCTGCGCAAAGGTCCTGCGGATGGCATCCGATGGATGGAAACAACAAAAGGATGCTGCCGCTGGTCCCAGCAATGTCCAAGCTGGTTGTTCACTAAATTCATCCAGACCCAAAAGCATCCAGGAACTCGGGGAGCGAAGCCATGGACAGCTGCTTCCTGCCAATGATTCCCTTGAATGGAACCCAGATGGCTCTCGAAAGGTTCATGATCATCCCTCCAACCACAAGAAGAACCCACCTGCGTCAAGTTCCCAAGGCCAGTTCTGGTGTGTAGCGCTCTTGTGGTGTTTCCTAGCCACCAAGCAAAGACAACACGCCATAGTTTGAAAGTCTAAACGCTCAGCTTCCCTCTAATTTATAGTTTGTGGTTAAGGGTGGTGTCCCATCCCTCTACAAGAGCCGGGGACTCAAATCAAGACCAATCCAAACCACCAAGGGATGCATAAAAAGCTTGGTCTCGGACAACACCGAAAAAGAATGGTCCTCAACAGCTTTCGAAACTTTTGAATTTCACGCGCGTGACGCACGGCGTTCAAGTAGTCTGAGGGCGAGGGCTTCAAAGCTAACGGTCAGATTTGGCTGCGTCTTAAAACTGGGAGCGGTTCGCAAAAAGAAAAACAAAAAACAAGAAAAAGCGTGGCTTTCCCTTCGGTTTCCCTTCACAACCACCCTGAAAGAGTACCCTCAAATACAAGGCAAGCCTTATTTGGAGGTGCAAGAAACCCCGCTTCAATATTCTCTCGGGCGCATCACTCAGAGCTGCCGGATCTGATTTTGGGGAGGACCTTGCGAGCCCAACAACATTCCAAACACAGTTCCTTCTTGGCCCCGCAGTGGGACACCAAAAAGGCTGCTGTGGCTCGATTTCACATTTGGCTGTGGGTGCGGGCCAAACCCACAAAACCCCTGGTGAACATCCCAATCCCCACTAATTTAGGTTCTAAAATGGGTGGTGCACCTTCTCCAAAATGGTACCATTGGTGTTGACCCCTGGTGAACATGAAAAAAAGATGGTACATGGGTGTTCATCCGCCCCTGAATGAAGGCATAGGCTATGACCCATGGCCATTTCGCCTATCCCAAAAAATAACATAGTGGAGGAGATGAGGAGACCCCGAGTAAGAGGCTCGGCAGTCCCCCGCATTCCTTGCTAAAAGCGGTGAAGAACTCACCCAACCAGAAGAAGAATTTATGCTTCCTGGGCAGCCAGCCGAGGCGATTCACAACGAATGTCCCTCCTGCCCACATGGCACATGGAACCTGCCGTTCGCGGGGTGGTTTGGACCACTTTCCCCTCTTTTTGTTGGAACCCCGTGTCAGGTTCCATGTAGATTGGTACCAGGCAATGGGAACCCCTGTGTACTCTAACCCTGGTTGAGGGTCGCCACTCCCATAGGCTCCAAGCTTATGAATCCGGATCCCGCAGATTTCGTTCGTCAGCCTCATCTGCACCCTTTACTCAAGGCCTTCGAGGTGATACTTGGACTTGTGGTGAAACACCTTCGAGACTCTTCCACACAAATTGGATTCACCTTGGTTTCCCTAACCGCTGCATGTACGGTTGGAGTCCGCTGCAACTCTGCAAAGGGGCTGTTGAACCAGCCCAAGCCAAATCCCTCAATCGAATCTTGCGGATTTAAGGGCCACAATCAAAACCTTGGTAGATGAAGGTTCACCGGGGACAGTCCCAAAAAAGTCTGCGGTCCCAGTTCTTTGGGGGAATGGCCAAGGGGTTCCCCTTCCCGGAAACTTCACCAAGAGATTTCGACTCCAAAACCGCCCCGGGTTCGCCCAACTGCTCGCCCTGCCAACCAACCCGGAGCCCTCCGAAGCCCAAGCCGAAGCCGTTCCTTTCAAAAACGGATCGCAGAGGTTACATTTTGAGAGCGCTGAAAGAATGAGGATCTCTTGGGACCCGGTGGTTCCCCCTGTTTTTCCACCCATTGGCAATTTTGTTTACCATGTCCTGGAGGACCAATCCCTATGTCTAGGGTGTCTTTCCTTTGCTCTGCTCCGTGCGTGTTCCAAACCGAAAAACGGAGAAAGGAGCAAAACCAACGCGAACCGGGGCCCGGTCCCATTTTGCCCGGGATCCAAAACGCTGAAAGAAGTTGAAGCCCAGAGGGCTCGATTGGGCGAATCAATGGGCTCATGGCACGCGAGTCAACCCATTTCTGTCTTTCGAACAGTTTGAAGACTTGAAACAATCCCAGCAACTTTTCAGGTGGCCTTCAATGTGGCTAAATGGCTGTCCCCTCTTTTTTTTGAAGGGCCCCAAAAGATGGCTCCTTCCGGATTCCCTTTACCCCCAACAGCCAGGGGTACCAACTAACGGTCACCCGGTTTCGCTGGCCACCGGAGCCATTGGCTTCAACCAGGTCGCGAGAGGAGGGGAGTGAAGGCCTCTCGGCACAGCTCTTGGAACAAGAAGGCCGGGAAGTGACTCGCAACCTCCGGACGCTCAAGCGAGATGCGGGGCAAAATAGGGGCAGGATGTGAATGGGGGAAGGGGGGGAGGGGGGGGGGGGTGCGGAAAAGGGGGGTTGCGAAGAAAAAGGAACCGAAAAAGGAGAAAGAAAAAAGAGTTGCGATCCGGCAACTGCCTCAGAGTTGCTTTGTCTGGGCAATGTAGCGAGAAATGGCATCCACCCTAGTAAAGGACTTTCCTCATCATGGTCAGCTTGTTTTGCCGCGCAAGCTCGTTATTTGCCCTGTTTTGGATTCCAATGCTTTTGCCACTCAAGTCCTTTTGCCACCTGGTTTCTGAGACATGCCTGCATCTAGGAGGAACCCATGTCTACAAAGTGTCCAGCCCCACACAACTACCGGGACGTTGAGCGGCTAGCGATTCCACATCCAACTGAGCCGGATGGCTCGAGAAAGAACAACTCGGATCTCGACGACGACGGATGACGGGTGAATCAAGCCGACGGTTTGTCGCGACCCCTATCAATCTGCCAGCTTTGTGTAAATCTACAGTGCAGCTAATGTTGACCCCATATTATTCAACCCCAGTTTGTTAATAGGGTGTCCCTGGGCGAAACGTGGAGAATCAGATCGCTTTAGGGGGCCCCACTCTGTTGTTGATTATGGGGTGAACAAAAGAGTGATGAGATTGACTCCTTGGCTTCGAAGTTGCTTATTCTTGGACCATCGTCTGCGGCTCCCACCCCGAGCAGCCGACAAAAAAAACTGGGGTTGGAAGTTGACACAACTTGGCCAGACTTTGTTTTGCTAGTTGAAGCGGAAAACGAAAGAACCACAAGAGAACACAAGGCAACCCAAAGGCAAACGCATAAGAGACCCCCTCTGAGTTCTGGGTGCGTTCACAGAAAATCCGCCGACCCCTTCTCCTCAAAGGGGGAGGCGTACGGGAAGGGCGGTTACAAGTCCAAGGCTGGCTGGTAAATGATGCGTGGACATGATTATCATCATGACTGCTGGTGATGCTGAGGATGCGTCATGATGATTATCATGTCAGTTCATCATCATCATCATCATCATCAGCATCACTTCATCATTATCATCACGGTGCTCATCATCATCATCTTCTTCGTCATCGTCCTTATCTTTTTAAATATACGTTTCAAGTGTGCTTTTAGACCCGATTTGAGATGCAGAAGATGCGTGGACATGATTATCATGACGACTGCTGGTGATGCTGAGGATGCGTCATGATGATTATCATGTCAGTTCATCATCATCATCATCATCATCATCATCATCATCACGGTGCTTATCACCATCATCTTCTTCGTCATCGTCGTATCTTTTTTATGTACGTTTCAGTGTCCCGTTAGACCGATTTGAGATGCAGAAGATGCGCGGACATGATTATCATGATGACTGCTGGTGATGCTGAGAAGGCGTCATGATGATTATCATGTGAGTTGGTGTTCATCATCATCATCTTCTTGGTCATCGTCCTTATCCTTTTTATATACGTTTCAAGTGTCCGTTAGACCCGATTTGAGATGCAGAAGATGCGCGGACATGATTATCATGATGACTGCTGAGGATGCGTCATGATGATTATCATGTCAGTTCATCATCATCATCATCAGCATCATCATCACGGTGCTCATCATCATCATCTTCTTCGTCATCGTCCTTACGTTTCAAGTTCCCGTTAGACCCGATTTGAGATGCAGAAGATGCGTGGACATGATTATCATGATGACTGCTGGTGATGCTGAGGATGCGTCATGATGATTATCATGTCAGTTCATCATCATCATCATCAGCATCATCACGGTGCTTATCATCATCATCTTCTTCGTCATCGTCCTTATCTTTTTTTATATACGTTTCAAGTGTCCCGTTAGACCCGATTTGAGATGCAGAAGATGCGCGGACATGATTATCATGATGACTGCTGGTGATGCTGAGGATGCGTCATGATGATTATCATGTCAGTTGGTGTTCATCATCATCATCTTCTTCGTCATCGTCCTTATCATTTGTTATATACGTTTCAAGTGTCCCGTTAGACCCGATTTGAGATGCAGAAGATGCGTTGACATGATTATCATGATGACTGCTGGTGATGCTGAGGATGTGTCATGATGATTATCATGTCAGTTCATCATCATCATCATCATCACGGCGATCATCATCATCAGCTTCTTCGTCATCGTTCTTATCTTTTTTTATATACGTTTCAAGTGTCCCGTTAGACCCGATTTGAGATGCAGAAGATGCGTGGACATGATTATCATGATGACTGCTGGTGATGCTGAGGATGCGTCATAATGATTATCATGTCAGTTCATCATCATCATCATCATCAGCGTCATGATGAATATCATGTCAGTTGGTGTTCATCATCATCTTCTTCGTCATCGTCCTTATCTTTTTTTTATATACGTTTGAAGTGTCCCGTTAGACCGGATTTGAGGTGCAGAAGATGCGTGGACATGATTATCATGATGACTGCTGGTGATGCTGAGGATGCGTCATGATGATTATCATGTCAGTTCATCATCATCATAATCAGCATCGTCATCACGGTGCTCATCATCATCATCTTCTTCGTCATCGTCCTTATCTTTTTTATATACGTTTCAATTGTCCCGTTAGACCCGATTTGAGATGCAGAAGATGCGCGGACATGATTATCATGATGACTGCTGGTGATGCTGAGGATGCGTCATGATGATTATCATGTCAGTTCATCATCATCATCAGCATCATCACGGTGCTCATCATCATCAGCGTCTTCGTCATCGTCCTTATCTTTTTTTATATACGTTTCAAGTGTCACGTTAGACCCGATTTGAGATGCAGAAGATGCGCGGACATGATTATCATGATGACTGCTGGTGATGCTGAGGATGCGTCATGATGAGTATCATGTCAGTTCATCACCATCATCATCAGCATCATCACATCATCACGGTGCTCATCATCATCATCTTCTGCGTCATCGTCCTTATCTTTTTTCTATACGTTTCAAGTGTCCCGTTAGACCCGATTTGAGATGCAGAAGATGCGTGGACATGCTTATCATGATGACTGCTGGTGATGCTGAGGATGCGTCATGATGATTACCATGTCAGTGAATCATCATCATCATCAGCATCATCATCATCAGCATCATCACGGTCAAGAACAAAACGGACCCAATCGTTTTAATCTTTTTTTGGTTAGTATTTCAAGTGTCCCGTTAGACCCGATTTGAGATGCAGAAGATGCGTGGACATGATTATCATGATGACTGCTGGTGATGCTGAGGATGCGTCATGATGATTATCATGTCAGTTCATCATGATCACAGCGCTCATCATCATCAGCTTCTTCGTCATCGTTCTTATCTTTTTTTATATACGTTTCAAGTGTCCCGTTAGACCCGATTTGAGATGCAGAAGATGTACGTGGGAAATGCTTTTCATGATGGGGGGGGGGTGGGACTGCTGTGATGCTGAGGATTGCGTCATGATGATTATCATGTCAGTTTTCTCATTCATCATCATCAGCATCATCATCTCAGCATCATCACGAGTGCTTATCATTCTTCGTCATCGTTCTTATCTTTTTTTATATACGTTTCAAGTGTCCCGTTAGACCCGATTTGAGATGCAGAAGATGCGCGGACATGATTATCATCATGACTGCTGGTGATGCTGAGGATGCGTCATGATGATTATCATGTCAGATCATCATCATCATCATCATCACGGTGCTTATCACCATCATCTTCTTCGTCATCGTCCGTATCTTTTTTTTATGTACGTTTCAAGTGTCCCGTTAGACCCGATTTGAGATGCAGAAGATGCGCGGACATGATTATCATGATGACTGCTGGTGATGCTGAGAAGGCGTCATGATGATTATCATGTGAGTTGGTGTTCATCATCATCATCTTCTTGGTCATCGTCCTTATCTTTTTTTATTTACGTTTCAAGTGTCCCGTTAGACCCAATTTGAGATGCAGAAGATGCGTGGACATGATTATCATGATGACTGCTGGTGATGCTGAGGATGCGTCATGATGATTATCATGTCAGTTCATCATCATCATCATCATCATCATCACGGTGCTCATCATCATCAGCTTCTTCGTCATCGTCCTCATCCTCCTTTTTATATACGTTTCAAGTGTCCCGTTAGAACC